TAAGGTTGTAACATTTTTTTAGTGTGTTGCATTTGCAAAGATAAAAAAATTAAGGCGTTTGTTAAAAGTTCAATAACTTAAAAAATTTGAATGGAACACCCTATTTATTGTTTTTGCATTTAAAAGATTATTAAAATGTCTTTCTAAAATTATTTACTTTTAGGTGTTTATAATCAATAACTAAAAGATATTTAATGTTAAACATTACAAAAAATAATTACTTTTGTTTCAGTAGCCAAAAAGTGCACAGTTGCACAAGAGATGGAAGAAATATCACTAAATAATCACAATTGTGTTAAACTGAATCCATTATTTTTTATTTTTACAATAAAATAATTCGAATTTCAGTATTTATAACGACTTTTACAATCTCTGGAAAAATGAGAGGCATTGTTGCTTTTTTTAAATTTTCGTCGAAAATGAGGTCAAAAATGAATAAATAAACCTATTTTTGCTTTTTTGGAGGGTTTTTCATATTAACACCATATTTAAGAAACGGAATTATCTCGAAATATTTAGACAAAAATAACCGAAGAGTCACCAATTTAAGTAAAAAATAATGAATTTTGCTTTTTACATCACGTTTTTTTGTAAGATTCTGTTGAAATATATGGAAAATTACCAAATTGGGTTGAAAATGACCTTTTTTATGATTTTTTTTGGCGTTTTAGGACGTTTTTCAACTAAAAATTTACAAAATTATTTCTTCACAAATCGCTAAATTTACTCAAAAATGGTGTTATTTTTACTTTTTTTGGATTGTGGTTAAAATTTTGTTCATTTTTCCGTTTTAGGACGTTTTTTATTCAGAATCGCAATTGTTTTCAAAATTTTCGTCAAAAATGAGGTAAAAAATTGATAAACTATCACGAAACTAAAATTATTTTTGCTTCTTTGGAGAGTTTAAGCATGTTTTTGAGCCGAAAAATCATCTGGTTGCTTTTCCAAACGTTTTAGCAGATTTTACAATCAAAAGCACAAAACTTCGTCAAAAATAAGCCGAAAAATCACATAATTAATTCGAAAATGATGTTGTTCTTGTTTTTTCAAACATTTAGTTGCGTTTTTAAGTCTAAAACAAAGTTTTTTATTTAATTCTT